CTGTGGGAGCGCACTGACCACCAGGGGGCAGCTCCTGCATTGAGCATCTTCCTCCTGGTGGTCAGTGTGTGTCATAGTAACCAGTCATTCCCAGTCGTTCTGTTAGGGTCAGTTTGCATATTACCCTTTTATTATATAGGATAGAGGCCTGGTGCATGGGTGGGGGCCGGCTGGTTTGCCCTGAAGGGTGTCCCGGATCAGGGTGGGGGTCCCGCTGGGGTGCCTGGCCATCCTGGGTGAGGGGCTGATGGCTGTTTGCAGCTGGTCACACCCCATTCAGGGTGGGGGTCCCCACTGGGGTGCCTGACCAGTCTGAGTGAGGGGCTGAGGGCTATTTTCAGGCTGGCCAAGCCCCTCCTCCCCCCCAGGCGATGGAAGCTCCCAGCCGCTCCTTTTTTTCTTTTTTTTCTCTTTTTATTCTGGGATTTATTTACCTTCTATAATTAAAACTTTGTAGCCTTGAGAGGAGCTCAGAGCCGGCCAGGGTGGGCAGGAGAGAAAGCCTCCTGCTTGCTCCAGCTCCATGACCTCCGCCAGCTGAAAGCAGTTATCTGGGGTTTATTTACCTTCTATAATTGAAACTTTGTTGCTTTGAGTGGAGCTCAGAGCCAGCTGCGGCAGGTGGGAAATTGGCTTCCTCCATCATTGGGGCAACCAAGCCTCCTGCTCGCTCCAGCTCCGTGGCTGCTGGCTGCCATCTTGGTTGGGTTAATTTGCATATAGTTGCTCTGATTGGCTGATGGGCGTGGCTTAAGGCATAGTGAAGGTATAGTCAATTTGCATGTTTGTCTTTTATTAGTGTAGACTAGAGGCCCGGTGCACAAAAATTTGTGCACTCGGGGAGTGGGGGTCCCTCAGCCCGGCCTGTGCCCTCTCGCAGTCTGGGACCCCTCAGGAGATAACGACCTGTTGGCTTGGGCCTGCTCCCGGGTGGCAGAGGGCAGGCCCAATCCCTAGGTGCAGCCCCTGGTGGGGCTCAGAGCAGGGCCAATTGGGGAGTTGGGGCGCCTTCCCCAGTCATGCACAGAGCAGGGCAGATTGGGAGGTTGCAATGCCACCCTCAGTCACACTCAGGGTAGGGCCCATTGGGGGTTTGGGGCACCGCCCCTTGTCACACTCAAGGCAGGGTAGATGGGGAGGTTGCGGCACCACCCCCTGTCATGCACAGAGCAGGGCCCATCAGGGGGGTTGGGGATCCGTACCCTGTCATGCACAGAGCAGGGCCAATCGGGGTTGGGGCGCTGCCCCGTCACGCACAGAGCAGGGTCAATCAGGGGGTTGGGGAGCTCCCCCTGTCATGCACAGAGCAGGGCTGATCAGGGGGTTGAGGAGCTCCCCCCTGTCACTCACAGAGTAGGGCCGATAGGGGAGTTGGGGCATCGCCCCCTGTCACACTCAGGGGAGGGCAGATCAGGGGGTTGGGGTGCTACCCTCTATCACCCACAGAGCAGGGCCGATCAGGGGGTTGGGGCGCCGCCACTGTCACACTCAGAGCAGGGCCGATGGGGAGGTTATGGCTCTACCCCAGGGGTGGGCAAACTTTTTGACTCGAGGGCCACAATGGGTTCTTAAACTGGACTGGAGGGCCGGAACAAAAGCATGGATGGAGTGTTTGTGTGAACTAATATAAATTCAAAGTAAATATCATTACATAAAAGAGTACGGTCTTTTTTTTCAATAGTTTTATTCATTTCAAACGGGCCGGATCCGGCCCGCGGGCCGTAGTTTGCCCATGGCTGCTCTACCCCATCACACACAGAGCAGGGCCCGTGGGGGGGGGGGGGGCAGTTGGGGCACCACCCTCTATCACCCACAGAGCAGGGCCAATCAGGGGGTTGGGGCGCCGCCACTGTCACACTCAGGGCAGGGCCGATGGGGAGGTTATGGCTCTACCCCGTCACACACAGAGCAGGGCCCGTGGGGGGCGGGGGGGTTGGGGCGCTGCACCCTGTCACACACACAGCCGCAGGGCGATCAGGGGGTTGAGGCGCTGCACCCTGTTACAGAGCAGGGCCCGTGGGGGGGGGGGGTGTTGAGGCGCCGCACCCTGTCACACACAGTGCCGCAGGGCGATCAGGGGGTTTGGGCGCTGCCCCCTGTCACACTGATCCCGGTGCCGGGAGGCCTCGCGGCTCCGCTGATCCCGGTGCCAGGAGGCATATGACCCTTTTACTATATAGAATAGAGGCCTGGTGCACGGGTGGGGGCTGGCTGGTTTGCCCTGAAGGGTGTCCTGGATCAGGGTGGGAGTCCCCACTAGGGTGCCTGGCCAGTCTGGCTGAGGGGCTGAGGGCCGTTTTCAGGCTGACGGGTGACTGAAGCTCCCAACCACTCCTTTTTTTTTTTTTTTTTTTTATTCTGGTCCAGCTTTAGCTCTGGGGCCTCGGCTACTGAAAACAGGTTTCTGGCCTTTGTTTACCGTCTGTATTTGATACAATGTTGCGGTCTGGCTGGCTGAAGCCCGGCTGAGTAAAGCAGGTTTCTGGGGTTTTGTTTAGCTTCTGTATTTGCAACATAGTTGCTTAGAGTTGCAGCTCAGAGGCCGGCAAGTCAGGTGGGGAACGTTGGAGTCCTCTGTCACTGAAGCAAGCAAGCCCCCCTGTTCGCATCAGCTGCCTGGCTGCCGGCCGCCATCTTGGCTGGCAGTTAATTTGCATATCTTGCTGATTAGCCAATGGGAAGGGTAGCGGTTGTATGCCAATTACCATGTTTCTCTTTTATTAGATAGGATAGGCTAGTTTACCAATGTTGATATTTAACCACAGTTCTCAAGTTTATTATCAATGCATACACTGAACTAATCTTATAAAACTTCTATGTGTAGTTTTGTATTTATGTTTCAGGAGTATGTTCTTTGGCACTTAAAATCTAGCTGTTCCTATTTAAGGACTGTGTTTAGTTTTTTCTTTAAATATTATCCATGTATGACTACAGAGGACAAATTAGCCAAACTACCCTATGATTATTTTATTGCTCCCTTTTTAAAAATACTAGAATTACATGAAAAACAACACCATGCTTTATTGCTAGCTTTTAAAAAGTATATAAATACTGAGTTGAGAATTTTATTTACTTTCAGCCATTATCCAGTTCTTAGCATAAATTAAAAACCCCATACACAACATATTTTTTTTCAAAATAACTTCTGTGCTCCTATTTTTAGCAACTCTTACTTACTTTTGTCACCTGACTTGTACGAATGATACTAACTTATGTGTGACTAGCCATTTGTATCACCATGCACCAAACTAAGGACAAATCAGCCTAGAGTGGGTTTTGTGTGGAAATGTACACAGCAAATGGGAGTTGGTGGATTCTTTTCCAAAATAAAATGACTTAGAACAGTGACATAAACAGAATAGGGACATGACCGGTTTCGTGTGGAAAGTTCACCTTGGTGGCCATGTTAGGAAGGACTGGAGTGCCTATAGAACAGTTATGAGGTCCTAGTTAAGAACTGGATAAAGACTTAAAGTAAATAAAATAAAACCATCCCCTACCAGCCTTAAAGGGCTCACTTTCAGCACTCACTCCCTGGGTCTCTTTCAGCTCAGTATGCAGCATCTTTGCTTGTTTACATATCACTGCCTCCAAAATGGCAGTCACTAATGGACTGCTTTTCGTTTATCCAAATCAAGTTTTTCTGCCTCCTCAGTTGCCTGTGATCATGGTTTCTTTCACCCCTTTAGCAACATTAGCGCTCTTGATGGCCGCTTTATGTTTTAGAATGTGCTCTTCTGGTGATTTTCCCAGCAACAAAAGCATTCTCTCCTTTGTTGCCCGAGAGTCTCTTTTTGTCATGCTGAGGTATCAGCTTGAAAGGGTTGTCAGTTCAAAAACCGAAGTTTGGTTCCACAACCTAGATATGTTTTCTGCGAGCAACTTGGTGGAGATGGGAGATGTTCGAGAAACGAGGTTTGACTGTATTTTATGAACACTTCAATTATAGCATTTAATGTTTAGAATCTGTTTCCCTTTTATTTTTTTCAGATACTCTATTGTCAATATATTCTTTGCCCCTCTTCAATATTAGTCATTTCCTCTTCAATATCGGTTGTGGAAGTTATGCAAAATAGATTATTGTGACCTCTTTAGTACTGAAGAGGGTGAAACTCCTCATTTCAACTGCTGCTCTCAAATTGGCCTGCTGTGCTTTCTAGTAAATTCGTATTGGCTATTTTGGGATTACTGTTCTGATTTCCATTAAATGCAGCCCCATTGAGTATTTCTTATCCTGCTCACTACCATGTGGGCCTTTGGCCATTGGTATTGTGTTCTGAGGTTTGTTGAGGATACCTTGCCATCTAGTTTTGTTGTAATATTGTCATGAGGTTTGCATTTTGTTGTAAATATTGTCATGAGGTCTAGTTGCTCTGTCTGTTTTTATCTGGGGATTTGGAGAGTTTGAAAACTATGCTGCTGTCTTGCTATCTTCCTAGACTCCCCCGTAACCGGTGTGTGTGTGTGTGTGTGTGTAGTCTGAATATTAAATATTAAATTGACATGTCTTTTATAATCTGGGCATACAGTTGGCACTCAGATTAGCAGAACTAAACCACTCAATTTAGTAGAACTAAACTGAACCCCTGAAAATTTAATGATTAAGTTATCAAAGTTTAGGCCTAGGCATTAACCAAACTTGAAATAAATTAAGTAAGTATGTACCATATATGAACTACGAGGGCAGAGTTTTTATCTGTTCTCCTCATGGATTTATTCCCAGTATGTAGAATAGTGCCTGACACATAATAGTAAATAACTGGTCAATAAATATTTGTTGAAGAAATAGATGATGTGCATAAGAGAACCACTCTAGCTTTATATGTTATTAGGCTTTTAAGGTAAAAATTAAATTTAAAACATTTCCTCATCTCTAATTCAATTAAAACTTACCACTTGAAACAAAAATCAAATTACTGTCTTTTCATTATGTTTTACTTTTGTAAAGGAAGTCTCTAAGTAAGTATGATGGAGTATAAATATTTGTTTTTCTCTTTTAGTAAACGAAGCAAAAAAGGAGATAAAAATGGAAAAGGCTTGAGACATTTTTCAATGAAAGTGTGTGAGAAAGTTCAGCGGAAAGGCACAACGTCATATAATGAAGTAGCTGATGAGCTGGTATCAGAGTTCACCAATTCAAATAACCATTTGGCAGCTGATTCGGTAGGTAGATCATGCACTTGACATTGACTGTGATGAGTGATGCAACAGTGTACCTCTTTGGGTTATCTGTGTCATTGATATGAGGACTCAGACAAGCTAAGGGTTTCCCAATTCCTCCTTTACTTGACGGTTTCATATTGTCTGTTGAGAGTTTTTGGTTGTTGATTTTTTGTTTTTGGAAAGAATTCTTTTATTATTTATTTCAACATAGAGATGAACAAATATTTTTTAAAATATAACTTTGGGGATTCCCGAGGGAGCATACTGATATTTGTTATGTTATCATTTCTACAGTGTCAGAATTTCTATTTACATTCAGTTCTAGAACTTAAACCTCCCATTTATTATTATTTTTTTAAAATATTGATTTCAGAGAGGAAGGGAGAGGGAGAGAGAGATAGAAACATCAATGATGAGAGAGAATCATTGATGGGCTGCCTCCTGCATGCCCCACACTGGGGATCGAGCCCACAATCTGGGCATGTGCCCCAACTGGGAATTGAACTGTGACCTCCTGGTTCATAGGTCAATGCTCTGCCATTGAGCCACGCTGTCCGGGCAAATCTCCTTTATTTAAGTTTAGTTCTACCTTTAAGTGGATTCAGTGTTCTCCACCATCCTTTATTATCAGAGCATTTGATTGATTGGATTTTGTTCTTAGGATCTATCCATACACAATAAGATAAAGGGCTTTTTCCTCAATGCAAGTTAACACAATTTTCTTCATTGAGAAAGTCTTGCTACCTACCTCTTCCCACCCTCCTCAAAAAAGTCAGCTGAATTAAATACTGTTCTTTAGTTAGTGATCTATGTGATTGGCATTTGGGTGCAAATTCCCTATTTTCATTGTAAGCTAGTAAGAGTACAGTAGGTCCTCAGGTCACGTTGGAGATCCATAATCCAAGGTAACTCGATTTTCCCCGTAAGTCGAACCCACCTACATAAGCACCTACATCACTCACATGGAGCATATTCACAGCAGTAATGAAGTGAAACAGTAAAAAAAATTTAAAAGAAAGTTAATTCCTGACCTTTACTTGTGGTAAATAAATAATAAGAAACATAAAGCACATATGTACATATGTGGAAATGACGGAACTTTTTTTTTATATAAATAAATGGGAGATGGCGACGTACGACGTACGTCGAGTCCGACATAACCCGAGGACTGTATGTGGATTAGTACTAGTCCATGGACCACATTTTGAGATGCACTGTTTACCTAGAGCTTAAAACAAGCATCCTTGCCCTAGCTGGCTTGGCTCAATGGATGAGCATCAGCCTGTGGACTGAAGGGTCCCAGGTTCAATTCTGGCCAAGGGCACATGCCTGGGTTGCAGGCTCGATCCCCAGTTGGGGGCGTGCAGGAGGCAGCCAATCAATGATTCTCTCTCATTGATGTTTCTCTCTCTCTTCTTCTCCCTCTCTAAAATCAATAAAGAAATATATATTTTTTAAAAAGATATGCATTCTTGACTTTTCAAAGTCAAATATCCTCCCAGACAATGCAAGGCCTTAGCTCACATTAACTTCATTACCCCTTTCTGCTATATATACTATTGCTGTCATGTATATTAGTTCTATATATATTCTAGCCTCAAAAAGACATTCTTGTTTTATTTAATTTTTAAAAAAATATTTATATTGATTTCAGAGAGAGAGAGGGAGAGGGAGAGAGAAATAGAAACATCAATGATGAGAGGGAATCATTGATTGGCTACCTCCTGCATGCCCCACACTGGGGATTGAGCCCATAACCTGGGCATATGCCCTCATGGTTCATAGGTCAACGCTCAGGCCACGCTGGCCGGGCCATTCTTGTTTTATACAGAGAATGTTAATTGAGATTTTCCTTTTGAGTTGGTCTTCATTCCATTCTACTTTTCCATGCTCTATCTCAGTTACATCATCTTTCTTCTCCCTGAAGAAGGCCTTTTAGCATTTTCAAATTTAGATCTGTAGGTAACATAATCTTTACTTTCTTTAGATTGTTCTATGTTTCAGATTGTTTAAAAGTGTGTTTATTTTTCTTTACTTTTGTGAAGGATAGTTTCAGTGGGTGTAGAATTTTTCAGCACTTTGAAGATGTTATAAAACTAGAGACCCGTGCACGAATTCGTGCACTGGTGGGGTCCCTTGGCCTGGCCGTTGATCGGGGCCAATTGGGGCCAGCCGCTGGGGAGGGACCACGGGAGGTCTCCAGGGTGTGTCCAGCACATGTCGCCCAGTCCCTATTGGCCGGACCCCAACAGCAAGCTAACCTACTGGTCAGAGCATCAGCCCCCTGGTGGTCAGTGTGCTCCATAGCGACTGTTCGAGCAGTTGACCAGTCGACCGATTGGTCGGACACTTAGAATATTAGGGTATTCATTAAATATTTTAATATCTGTGACTTATCTTAACTCTTAACTTTTATCACTTAATAAATGTATTTTTTAGCAGGCTTATGACCAGAAGAACATTAGGCGAAGAGTTTATGATGCTTTAAATGTGCTAATGGCAATGAACATAATATCAAAAGAAAAAAAAGAAATCAAGTGGATTGGCCTGCCTACCAATTCTGCTCAGGAGTGTCAAAACCTGGAGGTAAGAAAGGAAAATCTGGTTATACAAAGTGGTTTGCTTTATTTTACATCAGAGGCATTTTAATTTAGAAATGTGGTTACATACTAGTAAAATATTTCTAATTATGTATACTATGTCTTTTTAAAAAATAGATTCTTCTACATAGAGTTTTAGAACTGGAAGAAACTTTAGAGATATGTAGTCTGACTGGTGTCCTGATGAAACAAGGGGCATAGAAATTAGATGGCTTGATTTTTACTGTTTCTTAGAGAAGATCTTTATTTTATTCTAATTCAATTCTGAGCACTCTAACAATAACATTTCGGTGATTCATGTAACAGAAATACTATCTCAGTTTTGATATAATGCTTGCTTTATGGACGCCAAAATATGGGTGAAGCTGTCCATTTGTTTCTTATGTTTAAGCTTTTTACCTTTAACTCTGGAATCAGTGGCAACAGAATGGTATTTCATTTGTATCTTTATCAGAATAGATCTAATGTGTAGCAGTAACATGAATTTGGACATGACGTGTACAAAAACATTTTGTATTCTGTTAACTTTATCATTATAGGAAATCTTTCCTAAATGAACACGTGCCTTGACATAGTTTCCAAATCTGACATATTTTTATTGTCATGGCCATAAAGGGAATAAAGTGAGATACAGGTAGCTTATGGAGATAAATGTGGTTGATTTCATGTTTTTCTCATGATTTGGTATCAGTATACTTGTGGATGGAGGGAGAAACCAGACATTTATCAGAAATTATAACTTTATTTATATGGTGCAGTGGAAATGCCCTCCTCTTCTCCTTTTGATAGAGTGGAAGTTGAGCATCATTGTAATTACTGGTAATAATAAGCTGATAACAAAAATCTATTAGCATCTGCCAGCTATGTGCTTAATCAAAGATTGTACAAGACAAAAATCTCTGACTCCAAGGAGCTTTCATTCTAATTAAGAGGAGAAATGTAAAAGTGTTACCAAAAATGTGATTACTACTGTGAAAGAAGTATGGACAGATTTCCTGGGAGATAAGGGAGGGCTTTACAAGAAAAAAATCCCTGAGCTCAGTCATGAGGGAGGAGTAGGAGTTTGCCAAGTGGTTTAAAGCAGGGAGGGCCTTCCAGGCAGAGGCCTGCATGGGCCGAGGCAGGCATCGGAAGGCGTGCCCACAGCAGGGTGTGGCCAGAGTACAGGCAAGGAGAGAGTCCTAACTGTTGGGACCTGGTCCTAGAAACTAGGGGAAGCTATTGAAGAGTTATAAAGAGGAGGGCTGATGGGGTATATTCTGAAGGATCACTCTACTAGAGGGTTGGAAGTTGGACAGACAGGAAGGTGAGGAGGGGAGATTGGAGGTGGCCGCATTCATTACAGCAGTGGCAGTGGCAGTGAGTTTGGAGATGTGTTCTAGAGGTAGAGTTGGTACAACTTGTGTGTGCAGGAGGGGCAGGTGGGGGCCTGACCTGTCACGCTTCAGGTACAGGGCGGAACTCCTACATCTTTTCAAATGTTGAAGGCCACACTGATTTCACAGTCAGCCTAAAGTTATTTAGGATTAAAGTGTGGTAGTGGTTAGGAATAATGAGAGGAAATTTCTGGTGCAGACTAGAGTGGATGGGGAGCAAATAAATAATTTTCTTGGAGTAGACAAGAAAAATCATTTGATGTCATTGACTTTTTGCCCAAAGAGACAGGAACTCATCGCAAGGAAAATCAAACCTTAAGATCTGTTTTCCAGGAAGTTGTAAGAATGAGGAAAATAACAGTCCTTTGAAGCTGGGAAATTTATCCCATTAGCATACTTCTTACTACAGACAGGAATTGAATTGTATATTGAATATATATAAGCTACCTGTATTAGCAGCTGTGCTTTTTTTTAAATACATTTTTATTGATTTCAGAGAGGAAGGGAGAGGGAGAGAGAGATAGAACATCAACGATGAGAGAGAATCATTGATTGGCTGCCTCCTGCATGCTCCCTACTGGAGATCGAGCCCATAACCCGGGCATGTGCCCTGGACCAGAATAGAACCTGGGACCCTTGAGTCCACAGGTCAACGCTCTATCCACTGAGCCAAACTGGCTCAGGCCAGCTGTGCTTATTTAAGTCAGTTAAAATACAGTATACCAATTTTACGTCAATAATAAACTAAAATAAAAGAAGAAAAGGAAGGAAGGAGAAAGAAGGAAAAGGAGAGAGAGAAATCTGACATAATTTCTCTTATCAGGAAAGTGATATTTACACATGAGAAACAGGAAATGATACAAGATACTATAGGATTAAAAGTTAACTTCTATGTGACCAGGGCCAAGTATGGACCATTAGCAGGTCCTGTGCACCATCTGGAATGAGTGTTAGTACTGACCGGGTTATTGGGAAATAGTGTTACTAATGAGAGTGCAAATTGGTAAAACATTTTTTCCAATATATTTTATTGATTTTTTACAGAGAAGAAGGGAGAGGGATAGAGAGTTAGAAACATCGATGAGAGAGCTCGATCAGCTGCCTCCTGCACGCCCCTCACTGGGGATGTGCCCGCAACCAAGGTACATGCCCTTAACCGGAATCGAACCTGGGACACTTGAGTCCGCAGGCCAACGCTCTATCCACTGAGCCAAACCGGTTCGGCGTAAAACATTTTTGGAGAGGACTATATGTGTATTCTTTGAGCCAGCAATCAGCCATGTGAGTTTTGTTTTTTTTTTTTAAAGCAAATCAATTAATTAAAAGTAAAAATAAAAGACTGAGATCTTACCTCATTCTTGGTGGGTGGGGAGGGTGAGCATAATATAGCAAAGCAATTAATATTAGGGTCTCTGGAACCAGATGGCTGGGGTTCTTGCCAAGTACTAAGTGGTGTGCCCTTGGGCAGTTACTTAACCCTCTGTGCCTCCATTTCCTTACATGCGAATGGATAACGACATACATAGGGTCTCGAGAAGAGGAACTGAGGTAATGTGTGGGGAGTGCTGAGCTGGGTGCTGGCACATAGAGTAAGTGTCCTAAGTGTTAGCTCTCACTGTTGAACTTAAGTGGTAAATCGCAAAGAGTCCTGCACACCAGGCATTCCTTAAGCAGTTGGTCTCCTTACTGATAGCAGCTGCTGCAATTCTGCTGAACTGTCTGCTTGCTTGCCCCAACCCCTACCCGCAAAGAGGTGTGGCTTGCCTTTATTGATGTTGGTTTGCATCTCTCTAAAGAAAATTCTTGATATCTCAGAATTGGGACCTGAAAATGAGCAGTGCTTTATACCCTACACATCTTCATGTTATTTTGTGACCTGTGTTTCAAAGATAGAGAAGCAGAGGCGGATAGAACGGATAAAGCAGAAGCGGGCCCAGCTGCAAGAGCTTCTCCTGCAGGTAAAGATGCTGGGATGCCTTTCGTACCTGCCCTGCCTGTGTCTGCTTCTCCGCTTACTTGCTTGTTTCCTACTCTGGGTGCCTTTGAGGGAGTGTCTGGGACCACAGTAGGGCAGCCTCCCGCAGGCGAGCCCATTGCCATCCGTGGTCTGTCTCTAAGCTGGTTCCGTCTCTCACCATCACCAGGGCCCCACAGCCCTCACCTGCCCTGTGGGTGACATTTTATACAACAATTTACTTTGACACTTATCTTTACTCTGAACAGAAACTATTCAGAGAGAGTGTGTGTGTGTGTGTGTGTGTGTGTGTGTGTGTGTTTTAGTCCTAATGTGGAATACTAAGAAGTAAAGTTAGTTAAGTTTTGGGCACATTGAATAAAATAATTAAATCCACCTGCAATACTCATTATCTGTAAGTAACAGAATAACATGCAATACTCAATAAGCTTTGTAAAAATACCTAACCTTAAAATGCATTTATGTTTAAAAGAAAATTAAAATTTATAGTGTAATAAGGATCTCTCTATATATTTTTGGATAATTGCCTAGAATTTGGATGATTTTAAAAAATATAATAGCCTTTGTATGAAGTTATGGGAGGTAAAATCACAGGGTAGATGGACTTGTTTTTTCTATTTTTGGTAATTGCAGTTGGTGCAAAAATTCACTTTGAGCCATACAGTGGAACTATATTCAATCCAACCCAAAACTTGTAAAATGAGTCAGGGAATCTTTATGCCTTTGCTGTTTTTCATTGCAGCAAAGCAAGCAAGAATTTATTAGCCATGGCAAAAACACACTTAGGACTGTGAAACCAGGAAGGGCATGGAAGAAGCAACAGGAGAGCCTCGGCTGGGCTGCTCTGGCTCACTGGGAAGTCAGAGAAAATGGGGCCTTGGGCACAGGTTTATGGGGTTAGCCTGGGACGAGCTGCCACTGCCCGTTGTTCTACTGATTGCAAACCTCGTGTAGGGGTTGAGGAGATACTTGTGCCTGCAGGGCAGTGGTTCTCAACCCTTTGGCCCTTTAAATACAGTTCCTTATGTTGTGACCCAACCATAAAATTATTTTCGTTGCTACTTCATAACTGTAATGTTGCTACTGTTATGCAGGATGGTCTTAGGCGACCCCTGTGAAAGGGTCCTTTGACTGCCAAAGGGGTCGCGACCCACAGGTTGAGAACCGCTGCTGTAGGGGCAGGAGAGGGGGAAGGAATGGCACAGGCGTGTTCCTAGGAGGGGAATGCATGCCTTTATGCGTTAGCTTTTATCTGCAATTTTCTTTATTTGAACAGCTTTCAACCAATCCTAAAATCAACTTTGATTTGAACAACTATAAGTCATTTAATTTTTGGTGAAATTTACTTTTCAGAAATAAAGATACCAAGGAGTTACCAGGTTTTCCCCCTAAAGTAGTCACTTTGTCTGAAGGATAGAATGTTAAGTACTCCTGAATAGTCCAGGTTTTTGTGTTAAACTTTCTAGATGCTTATGTTTTTCTCTCACATTCATGAATAAATCAAAAGGGCAGGAGACAACCGGTCGCCCTCCCGAAGGTCCGTGCTGGTCTGAGCCGGAAGCAGGGCTGAGGCAGGGGGTGGCGGCAGGTGGAACAGGGAGCCCGGACACTGGGCCGTTTCTTTTCTTCTGTGTTCTTTGTCTGCTTTTCACACTGAATGAGCCCCATAGAACCTGCCGCTGGAGGCCGCATTTTATGTTTTCCATAGTGGATGTCCAAATAAGATTTTGTTTGAAGAGACTGTTGCAGCTTTAACAAAGCTGATCCTTGATTCCTTTTCCTGCAGCTACTCCCTGCAGCATCCTGCCTTCTTGTAGACCTGGCCAGCCAGGCCCTCGCTTTCTCTCTCGGTCCCCGTCCCTGCACAGTTAGCTGCAGGCGTTCCCTGTCAACTCATGGTCCCTACGCTCCGTGCTGAGCCTTCCTCAGAGTGTCATGGAACGCTTTGGAGCTGGATTTTCAGTACATGTTATATTTAAAATCTGTTTCTCAGTAGACTTGTAATTATGTGTTTATCAGAAAGAATGTTGCTAGCCAAGGTCGCTCTCATTATGTGTATTTTTTTAAGTCCTAAATTGTTTCCCCCTCTGTGGTCTCTCAAACCAAATATTTATAGAAGATTTCAACCTGGAGCACCCTAGCTGTCAACATTTATAAAAGCAGTTCTCTCTATTGAAATGAAACCCAAAGTATAGCAAGAAACAGGCACTTTTTGCTTTTTCATACCTTATTTCCTCCTAGCGTTTTGTTCTTTCCTTCATCAAACAGGGATGAAGTTGTCTTAGAAAGAAAATTAAGTCCCTGAACAATAATAATTTGCCATAGCCTAGTTCGCTTAATTCTTTTTAACAGTTAATGTCAGCGCACTGACATCACGTGGCACAGGTGAGTTATGCTTAATGCCACTGCTTCTTTGCATATCATTGGGCTAGAGTAAGCAATGTATTCAACCCTGAACTCATGGGCGTCTGTGGTGGGTGAGTGGAAAGCAAGCTCCCTCAATGTCGTTTCCCCTGAATCACTCTCTCTGAGGAGCTGCAGGTGCCCCTGGCTCTCAGATTTGTAAGGTCCCATTTCTATGGGTAACGGAAACCATGGCCCCATTATTTACATTATGATGATGGTAGACACCATTTAAATGTATATTTTTCCCCTTGAAATATATTTATTGAGTTGGATTTTTCTAATCTTTTTTCTTAAATGTCTAATTTACTACAGGTGGAAGGTCTCTTTAAACTCTATTCATTTAATTCCAACTCACTTATCCATATTAAATGACTATTTTTTTTAATCGCTCATTACAGCAAATCGCTTTCAAAAACCTGGTACAAAGAAATCGGCAAAATGAACAGCAGAACCAGGGCCCGCCAGCTCTGAACTCCACCATTCAGCTGCCGTTTATAATCATCAACACGAGCAGGAAGACAGTCATAGACTGCAGCATCTCCAGTGACAAGTGAGTGCAGAATGGGGGCAGGTTGCAGGGCAGCCTTCTCTTCACGCAGTCCTGTCATTTGACAAAATAAGAGGGGGGTATTCCATTCTCTGAGTCCTCCAAGGCTGACTCCTTGGGGCGTGTGAAACACCTTTTCATACATGGAGAGCTGTCAGCTTCTGGCCTGTGCTCCATCACTTGCCCTCCACAGCCCCCAGTCACGTACCTGGCCCTCTGCTGCCTGTTACGTGCAGGGTGGTGCCTGGACACAGATCAGGATGTACACGTATGTACGTGCATGTGGCATAATTGTGGGCAAGAACTGCAGCGAGGTAGACCATCAGTGAGGGTCTGACACAGGTAGGCTCGCTGGTGATTCACTGTCATAGTTTATTGTGGAAATACTTTAGATCAACATGAGGCATAAAAGCAATTACCTCTTTGTTTTACTATCTCTTAGTTGAGTGGGCTTCTGTTTATTAATGGATGAATAGACATGAAAATGCTAGGTGCAATCTCTGCTTTTTTTGTTGTTTTTCTTTTTGTTTGTTTTTTTAATATATTTTATTGATTTTTTTACAGAGAGGGAGAGCAACAGAGTTAGAAACCTCGATGAGAGAGAAACATCAATCAGCTGCCTCCTGCACACCCCCTACTGGGGATGCACCTGCAACCAAGGCACATGCTCTTGACCGGAATTGAACCTGGGACCCTTCAGTCCACAGGCCGACGCTCTATCCACTGAGCCAAACCGGTTAGGGCTCGCCTTTGTTTTTTAATCTTATAATTGAAAGTTAATATTTTTGACCACCTTCATATATTTTGCCCCCCCTCCCCCAATCAATTCTCTGTATCTATGAATTCAGTTTTTTAGGTTCCACATTAAGTGAGATCATTCAGTATGTGTCTTTCTCTGAATTATTTCACTTAGCATAATGCCCTCAAAGTCCATCCATGTTGTCACAAATGGCAGCGTTTCCTTCTCTTTTTTGTGGCTGAATATTTTATTGTATCTATACATTTTCTTTATCCATCTATCAGTAATACAGAATTAATGTGAGATTTATTTTACCTTCATAAAAATAGTTAATTCGTTGGTCTTCAGTCTGTGATCAGTATCATGAGACAGTTGAGGGCATGGGGTGGAGACAGACCCAGGTGTGGATGACGGCTTCCCCCGTTTAACTGCTCCAGAGCTGTTTTCCGGAAAACGCCACTTCCTAGCCCTGTGGTAAGGATTAAATGAGAGAATGCCTAAGGCTTGGACTCAAAGCAGGCAATTTAAACATGTTAAATGCTTTCATAAAGGAATTGCAGGGAGTCATTGGCCTAAGGGCTTTATGGCTTCTGTTCATCCCTGGCTGGGGTCTAGTAAGGGTTCCATTCTTGGGTGGTAACTGACTCAATGCACTTCCCTGGAGGAAGGAAACTCTAAGAAGCTTGCAGCAGTTTGTTGTTCAAGGCAGGTCCTACAGCCTTTCTTTCACTTACTTTGGTGATGCAATCTTTTCCCCTTACTTAGCCAGGCAGCTCTCCCACCATGAGCATTAAATTGACCAAACTAGCCCTGGCCGGTGTTGCCAAGTGGTTAGAGCGCCAGCCCACACACTGAAGGGTCTCAGGTTCAATTCCCAGTCCAGGGCACATACCTGGGTTGTGGGTTCTTGTGGCCCGGTTCCCCCCCCCCCCCCCCCGCCCCAAGTTAGGGCTCATTCAAGAGGCAACCAATCCATGTGTCTCTCCTACCTTGTTTTTCTCTCTCTGTTGAAAGGCAATGGGAAAATACACTCTTGAGGATTAACAGAAAAGAAAGGAAAGTATTGGATTTAGACCAGTATTTCTGTATCCAATTTGCAATAGCTTAATGAGGGCTAAAGTTTATGGACCTCTTGTCCGTCACATGAAAGTTAGACACGTTAAGCGCCTTGTCAGTCACCGGTGACTGACACTATACTTTCCGTGCGGAGACCAAACAGGCTGGGTGCTTAACGTGTTACTTGGGAAAGTGGTGTATTTGAGATGTCATCTCCTGAATACAGCAGAAGGACCCTTATTGCTATAAACATCGATAATTTCTAGTGCGGTAGCTGAACTTAGGCCCTCATTCTTTTATGTAGTAAACAGACTATAAAACTCCTCAGACCTCTCCAACGCCACGGAAGCCTGTACCAACTTTGTTTCTTGGTGCAGGTTTGAATATCTTTTCAATTTTGACAACACCTTTGAGATCCATGATGACATCGAAGTGCTGAAGCGGATGGGAATGTCCTTTGGCCTGGAGTCAGGCAAATGTTCTCTGGAGGATCTGAAACGTGCAAAATCCCTGGTGCCAAAGGCGTTAGAAGGTTATATCTCAGGTATGTTAACGAATCCTTTCACATGTTGTCCCTGATTAAATATATCAAACCCTAACATGTTAAAACCTTTCTCTTTTTCTCATAGAAAATTAGTTCAAGTCCACTGTATGCTCGTCCTTGATTCTGAACCCTTTCCTACTTTAACATTTTGAGGAACTGCCATACTATTTTCCAAAGCAGTTGTACCATTTTACAGTTGTACCAGCAATGTATGCGAGTTTCAGTTTGTCCACACCCTTCTAAACACTTGTTGGCCACCTTTTTATTACAGCCATCCTAATAGATGTGGTATCTCACTGTCAATTTGATCTGCATTTCCCTAGTGACTAATGATGTGAGCATCTTTTCATGTGCTTATTGGCCATTCGTAAATCTTCCTTGGAGAATGTCTATTCAGATCCTTTGCTCGTTTTTTAAATTGGGTTCTTTATCATTTTTATTATGAACTATAAAAGTATGCTTGAATATACTAAAAAGCACTGTTTTGCATGTTATATAATTCAGATTTTGTTTCACTCATTCTGACATCTTTATGATTGTCCTAACTTACTAAGATTATGGTATGTTCTGCACCTAGAATTTGGATGTAGCAAACAGTGCTCTGCCTTTGCTTTGGGCAGTTCCCTTCATTGTAAGTATTACCTCCTAGAACTGCAAAGTAGTTTTTATTTGTTTTGTTTTGTGGTTTTGGCTCTTCAATCACAACACAAGTGTCTGTTGGATTTAGTCCTTAAATTGGCATCACCCACTCATGAGACCCCATCTTATTGCCCCTCAGCCAGTATCTCCCCCTGCTCTCTCCCAGGGCAGGACTGGCTATTCTGTTGGCAGCCCAGCAGCGTCTAAGGGAAGGGCTTTCAGTAACTCACCACAACTTTACTTCAGTCCATTCTCATTGTAAAAGCTTGGTGATTAGGCAGGCTCTCTGGCTTTTATCTCTTGGTGACCTCATTGGCAGCCTGGGGCACAGACTTTCTGGTTAGTTCTTTTGAAGAACAAACGTGTGCCTTTAGTGCAAAGGACAGAGGGCTCTGGAGTACGATGGTGAGAACCACTGTGTGGTTTCTAGGATAATGTGAACGAAACAGGCTTTCAGAGCTGTTGTGAAGAGAAAGTGTCCTGTGTTATGCAACTAGCTGAGCTCTGACAAAGTTTCCACGTATGCTAATTACTATCCCCGATCAGGATTCTGGCCTTAATGTTATCGTGTCCAGACTTGTTATTTAATGTATTTAAAGTCTGCTGTTCTTAGAACTGAAGTTCTTTTTTTCACAGCTGCCTTGTTAGCCTGTGAGAAACCGGTTCCCAAGGCCATTCTAAAATCAGCGTAGAGATTCGCTCACTACTTCTTCCTAGGATGCCTCTCACTTGGCCCGACAATGCTGGATAGCAGTTTCCAATCTTAACACACAGCTTTCTGCGCAGTAATTATAAAATTATTTTGATTAAATATAGTAAGCTTTCATTTTGGTAAATTACATTTTTCTGAGTGTACATTCGATCTTATAATGTAATTCTAAGAATTTCTCTTAGAATTGTATTTCTAATCTGCACATCACCTTCTTTGTAAACTCACTATTGGAAGAGACTATCATTCATTCAGTAACATTTAGATCTTACATGTTCTTGTCACTGTCTTCTCTGAGCTGACATCCTAGATAAGGAGGTAAGCATTAAACAAGTGAAACTACGGTGAGAATTGGTCAAGGTTATGATAGGAGAAGTACGATGTATGTGTAGAAAACAACATTGAAAGGACAGACCCAGAATATTTATGCAGACTGAAAAAGCGGTGCCTGTGTCACCCTCACTAAAAGCATGGCTGCTCGTGGCCTTTCAAAATAAGAGCGAGTTTGAGTTTTAAGCAAAAGGTACCAGGAGAAAGAATAGGTCTTGGGTGACTAGTAGCACTGCGTTCCCCAGGGGGGCACTTGAAAAGATGGATTCAGTGGGGGTTTGGGCAAAAATGTGTCTGTCCTTTGTACCTGAGACATTTCCAATGTGACTCTCTCTACCCACTGCTGGCTTTGGCTGTTACCACCGTCAGGGTCCCGAGTCTTCCATGGCGAGGACAGCAGGCGTCCACGGTAGTCCAGTGTGTGCTGCCTCTGGAGGTCTTGAGAAAAGAGAACGAGAGCCCACAGTTGGTTGAATTTGAATTCATTCTTGCTATAGTCAGCCTTCCTGTCTCTCCCGCATCCCCCTTATGATTTAGAAATGTCTGTTTTCTGCTGAAGAAATCTGGCTTCTCCCCAGGGCAGGAGACTTGTGTGGCTGTGATTAGAACAGGCTGATGCCCTCACTTGTCCGCTCTCTTCCCACGGGAACAATAGCAGCCACAGGACTGCGGGACCCACCCCTTCTGTCTTTGTTTTTCCCCGTAGATATCTCCACAGGACCGTCATGGTTAAACCAGGGGCTGCTTTTGAACTCTACCCAGTCAGTTTCAAGTTTAGACCTGACCACTGGTGCCACCTTATCCCAATCAAGGTACGTATGTTTCCGGGTTCAAAAGGCCAGCTGCGGGGCCGGCCCCTTCTCAGAGCGCAGCATGCCCCTGCCCAGGCCCTGGCCGAGCCCTCCGTGGCTCCTGTCCCCTGCCCCATTCCTGTGTTACGAAGCAGAAAACGTTCACCACGTTAATGAGCCTGTGTTTGAATTGTTTGCTAGTGTAACCCAGGGGTTCTGCTTGGATGCTGAAGTGGCCTTAGCAACTGGGCAGATCCTTGCCCCAAACAGTCACCAGTCCAGCAGTGCGGCCTCTCACTGCTCCGAGTCCCGCGGCGAGACGCCCTGCTCACTCAACGACGACGACGAGGAGGAAGAGGAGGAGGACTCCTCCTCCCCAGAATAAAGACAGGACGAAACCCACGTTTTCCTATTGATGCTCATGTGTGTTTTAGTGTGAGCTCTTGTTTTTGAAATGATTGCTTCAGTCCTTGCTTCTGTTTGCACTGTGTGTCCAGTGGAAACTAGGGAAACACAATCTGCGAATTACACGCAGGCTGACACGCTTGAGATGAACGTTACCGTCTGTGAATGAGAACTGACAGTAGGGTAGTAGGTCACCTCTCAGAGCGAGCTTTCTGAGGGGACAGCGGGACAGGCCTGGGAGAGCTGGGCTGCATGAACAAAGCTCATTTACCTTCCGCACGTGGGACCTCTGGTCCCCCACCCACGTGACCCTCCTTAGAACCAGGATTGCTTCTCTCCGTGGGAGGCACGAATGGGCGTGACGAGCTCCGGTGGGTGCGCGGTGCAGTGTGGGAGGGAGTTGGGCCTGGGCACAAGCTGCACTGCGGAGCTAGCTGAAAGCCTAGTTGAGGTGCTTTACGCATCAGCTGCCTTAGACAGCTTCTAGAAAGGAGCGCGCTAACTCTTAAGTACTTAAGTGACATTTAGAATAATTTATAGTAAAATGGAAATGATCACTATTAGCCAATGCATTTGGTGCATAGAATTTTTTAGGGCTACTTCTGGAAGCCAAAGTAGAATAGCCTTTCCACGTGCATTAAATACTTTGCCAGCACTGCCTTTGCCAGCGTTCTAAATCTGGGGTTTCTCAGAGAAGGAAAGTATCATTTTAATCAGAGCGATGCATTTCATACAGCGCTTTCATTTAAGACAAAGGAACACATCCCTCTGACCAGATTGCTTGCTTACAGTTCCCTGTAGTAATTGTGTGATTTCACCCAGTGTGCAGTTGATGAAAATGAACCAAGTGTCATTTCCCGAGTATGATAGCACTGTTTTCCTGTCCATGTCACCTTTTATACATTTTCATTAATCCAAATGGCCTTACTGAGTTATTCCTGGGTAAACTGCGTTTCAGACTCACCTGATGTCGCATTTCGAAAAGTGGTGAACTCTCCGAATGGTTGGGGTTATGGTTGTGCAGTAGCTGGTGTGTTGTTTCATAGCCAAAGATGCCGCCAGGAACGCAGTGCTGGCGTGTCCAGTTCCTGCTCCTCCGAACAGGAGCATGGAGACACCTGCCCCCATGGCCAAACCCCAACCAAGTCTCACAGCAAGGCCTGGAAAAGAGCAATAATAATAGAAAATGAGCTCTATGGTTTGTCTTGGCCATTGGATTTGCCCCCAGATTATGCATCGAGCACCTGTGGGCTCAGCCCAGGTCAGTCCTTTCCTCGGCCCCGAGGGGTGCGTGCAGTGGCCTCGTGCTGCCGTTCACAGCCCTGCCCTGTGCTGCAGTGAGCGGGGAGGACCTGGCTGGCCAGGGGCTGGGTTAGGCCGTAGAAACGAATACACAGAAACATACAACTTGAACTTAACTTTCTTTTCAGACGAAACTCATTCTGTCAGAAATAAGCTATAGTGCGGACTCAGAGTGCAGAGATAGAGGCAGTTTTTAGAGAATTCGGTCTCAGCCTGAGTTCCAGGCACATCTCTTAGGCTGGGCAGATGGGAGGTGCCCAAAGCGGCAAAGGCCCAGCCAGGTCCTCACGGGCCTTCAGGAAACACTGACCAGGAGGTCATCAGCTGCAGGCAGGGAACACCAGGCTCCCTCCCCACTGTCCCTGAAGAGGCTGCTGCCTCCTCCACCAGCCCCTGCCTTTCTCCTCTCTGTCCTGGAAAGGGCCCAGCCGGGACCTGGGGAGGCCAAGGGCCACAGCTAGTTTTCAGTCCTCACCCTGTGTACATCAACATTCATGACAGTCCATCCATCATAACCTGACCTCTACCAAGTAGCAAACCCTTGCTAGAGATTTTTGGGAAATGCTTCCTCTCTCTCCTGCTGCTACAGTTTTAAATGGACAAAATATGGGTTTAAAAGAAAAAGCAACCAAAGACTTACTGTGGTTGGTGCCCCATCCTTGGCCGTCCAGCCATAGGTGTAGTGTTTGGTCGGAAATGGCCCCGGTCCTCAGTAATGTTTGGGGTCACTGCTGAGGACATCGAGTGGAGTCCCACCGAGGGCATCAGTACAGGCTGGTGCAAAGCCTTCCCTGGCAGAAGCTGGGAGTAAATCCTGTTTTACTCCATAAATCCCTCAACAGATTGTCTGGGTCTGAAGTCCTGCGCTCAGGCACAATTTCGTATAGAAATCAGAGTGAAAAACCGTTAGGAAATAGCGATTGCAATGTCCAGACGCCATTCTAGGAGCAGCACTTGGGGTTATGTGCACACGTGTGTGCCCACACGGACATCTCCTAGAAGTGGCGCCCCCTTTGATTCTGGGGCAGTTTAAGAGGCCTTTACCCCTTGGGGGTCAGTTTACTGTTACTCTTTCAAGTGCATAGTATCTTCAGTCCGCACATTCTTGCTCCAGTATCACTTGTGTGAGGCTCCTGGCCAGCCTTGGACCTTAGGTTATGGCACCTGCCCAGGCCTCTCTCCCTCTCCCCCACTGTGCATCTAATCGCCTTCAGGAAGATTGACATAAACTGTGCCTTAGGATCATGGAGGACCTCAGCGAGCTGACAGTGACTTCTCACCTCCACAAAGCCCACTGCCCTGGAAAACTTGACAAATGATGACCATGTGTTTTGTTTCCTTCAACTTAATTCTGTATGGAAGTGGTGGGGTGAAAACAGTGGTTTTACCATTTTAACAGGATGAAAGGGTAACTCCCCTCAGCAAAATGTACAGGGGAAACCATACTCTGCTGTACCTGGAAATAATGCCAGGTCCGCCCTCCACCACCACCATTAGCCCCGGTCCGCTCATTCAGGTGGCGGTGTTCACAGTTAGCCCTGCAGACCTCCATAGCTGGCTGTTTGCTAAACCACCAGCCTCGGCCCTTGGGTCCTGGAGGCAGCCAAGTTACTTCAAGCACAGTTGTAACAGGCGCCTGGGACAGCAGGACACAGTGGGGGCGGGTGTGCATGGGGCAAGGCCCGCAAAGGAAGGGACTGCCTCGGCTCTTTCTGCCGGAGCCACACAGAGCGAACCCTGCTTAGCTTTACCAATAATTCACCTCAAGGGCCTTGTGAATACCTACCTAGTTCGCTCCCCTCAGGCGCAGAAAGGTGTGTCCCAACCCCAACATTCTGAGAGGTGGGCATTAAGACTGCTGCCTTAGCAGTGAGTGTAAAGGTTTCACCCTTCAGTAAGCATGTGAGTGAGGACAGAACAAAGCATTCAGGGCGGGTAGTGCGGTGGAAACGGGCAATGGGACGTGGGGGAGGCTGCTTTAGTGTAGGGGTGGCCAGGGAAGCCCCCCTGGGAGAGGGACGTTGGTCCTGAATCAGACCATTGAAAGGCATCTCCATACCTTCTTCCCACGACACTGCCCCATCATATGCACCTGGAGTCTCCTGAATCCCAACGGCCACACTGCTCCAGTTCTAAGCATACATTGGGTTCTTTTCCTTTAATATGTTTTACTGATTTTAGAGGCAGAGGACGGATAGGGAGAGAGAAACATCTATGAGACAGAAGCATCACATTGATCGGCTGCCTCCTGCACGCCCCCTACTGGGGATCAAGCCCACAACCCGGGCATGTGCCCTGAGCGGCAATCAAACCAGTGACCTCAGGTCATGGGTCTATGCTCACCACTGAGCCACATCAGCCAGGCTTAAGCATCCATGTTGGAGTCTGTGAAATAATTTTTAGTATTTAAAAGAAAACTCAACTTAGCTACCAGCAGTACCCACAAACCAAGAGAAGGTCCTAACCCATGAAGTTCTCATTAGCTTTGTTATCTTCCAGTTGAAAGGTGGAAAAGTACTTTTCTAGGTGTTTTCCTTTAGTTTTAAAAGTTACTGGGTACATAAAGATCTTTTTACATTGGACATATAAAGGCGATCTTTTATCTGCATGTATACTGGCATTAGTGGAGCTAAAGACTATAAGAACCACTTACCCAAACAGGTTCTCCATTTGCATGTGCCCACAGCAAGGGTTCCCCAGCGCTGATGAACGTCCATATGAATTTATCGAAGGCCCGCAGTGTGTGCCAGGGGCCTGCGCTGTGCTGTGAGGGACCCTTGGAAATGTGCCTGTTTAAATTCCACTCTAGCCAAACACTCTGAAGGGAAAAAGTCTGATATTTGCTTAAAAATTTACCTTTAAAAAGTTGAGCTAAATATTCACACAAATTATAATATTTCTCAGGAAATAGCCCCTTTCCACAACCAAGACAGCTCTAAAAAGTTACGCTTAGATAACCTTTGGGATCCAGTTTCCCACAGACCTCTACACGCACAAAATGCTAAGGAAGAAAAAGTGGGGGACACAAAACTGAACCTGCAGTTGTGCCCTGGGAACCCCTGACAAGCACAGAAGTGTCACAGCAGCTGTCCGTCCGTCCGTGCACGTGGTGTCGAGACAGGAGGAGGAACAGGCAGTTATTTGTATTCTGTGCCGAGGTTCTCTCCGGCGAAGTAAACTTGTCCTTACATGGCCTTTGCTTTACGAAAGGCCTATAGAACTGACCCCTTGCTATTCCAGCAGGACGGACCTGGGTCTCCTTGCTTACGGCGGCTTTGGGAGTCGATGTAGCTGAGGCATAGGGCAGGACACTCCTTCACCAAGGGCCTCAGAGCAGGAGAGAACAGCTCTCCACCTCACTCATTAAGACATCACTCCTCTACCGTCCCTCAGAGTGTGTAGAGTCTACCAACCAGAATTCCCCTCCGGGAGGACCACATGGCCTCCTGAAACCTCGCCCTCCCCACAGTCCTCCCAGGTGGCTCTGGGACTAGCATCAGCCCCGTCACACCAAGTGCTACACAGCCGGCAGTGGGACCTCGCCCGGGAGGCTGTGGCATCAGCTTTGGACCTCAGGTCAGAAGACCCCGGGTCTAGACACATCTGGGAGGACACTCCTCCATGGGCAGAGACTGGCACGCACCCTGGCCATTGGTCATTGGTAAGGGGCATGAGGTGAAGTTCCCCACTACCCTTCTCTACCACATTAGCTTGTTTATCTCAACACAACAAGGACACACTTCCCCAGGTTGTGCTTGGGTTTCACAACCAATCATTTTGTCACCATGTGTCATCTTCATATGCCAGGCATCATCTAATGACAAACAGCCTGATTTTGCGTGTTCGCGACCGAAGTCAGATTTTTTTTTTTTTCCATACTAAAGGTCTCCGAGGACCCAGATACTTTTCTGCTAAAAAAACAAACAAAAAACTTCTGAACTGTTGCCTCTCTTTCTCAATTAGCACCACGGCAGGTCCAACCCTCCATTGTCCTGAAAAGGACCTATCAACCAGCCCCTACCCTGGCCACTCGAGCTCTGGGCCCAGCTCAGTACAGAGTTCCTGGGGCTGTTTTGTTCACCACCATCACACTTGGCTTGCAGACGGAAAAGAAAAAGGCTGTGAGCCCAAATCACCCGCCTGTTCACCTTTTCATTTGGAGACACTTTACTCTGATCATGCGCTCCTAGGTTTTATTTCCAGAAAATATAGTTCTGTGTTGTTTTTCTGCATGAAGGAAACATCACGGTGCCACATGCTCTAGGCAGTTTAATAAAGCGAAACAAGGGGATATGCAAACACCACATCTGACTTGCCTGACGCAGACTTTCTTAGATTGGAGTACCTAACCTGAAATGATGTATTATTTTGTAGCATCTCAAACTTTGTAAATAAATACCATTATTTTTATATTGAAATTTTATAGAAGAGCTATTTCTGTATACTTAATTATCCCTGGATTTTCTGAAATTGCTTCCGGTAGATAACGGACAAGTCCTAAGCAGTGCTCCTCTAAAGATGGTTCAAGGACCACCTGCAGCAGAAGTGACAGGGGTGGGGTGGGCGTTAAAATTTTGCATCCCCCAGTCCCACCCCAGACACTCAAGACGCTCTGGG